GCACACACACACACACGCGCGCACACACACGCACACACATACGCACACACACACACACACACACACGCACACACACGGGAGCGCACGCGCGAGCGTACACAAACACATGCAGAAACACAACCACTGCGCATACACACACGCACGCACAATCACTGACGTCTCACACTCCAGGTCATCACCGTGCTCAAGGCGCTGTCTGACGGCGGCGTCACCGTCATCGCCACGGTACACTCGCCCACTTCCTACGCATTCAGCCTCTTCGACACGTGAGAGAGGGCACATCTTTGTGAATTGGCACCTGGGATGTGTGACACCTGGGGCCCACATGGGTGCACCCACATACGTGTGTGTGCGTGTGGAGGGAGGCTTGTGTGGGCCCTGCCTCTATGAGTGGTACATAGGGGCGACTTCAGCGGTATGGTAGCTCACTGCCAGACAGCAGTGTCTGTGCGAATGTGCCGGAGGCTCACAACTATCTTGCCCCACATGTTGGCATTCGCAGATATCAGATCCTCAGCATGTCCATGAGTAATTTGTTTAGTGTCGACCCTCCTGACTTTGCACTTCACAAAACTCACACGCACGCAACTACACACACACACACACGGAAACACACACACACACACAACCTCCAGCCTGCTGATGCTGGTGCGGGGCCGCCCGGTGTACTTTGGCCCCAGCGGCGCCCCGGCCTTTGACTACGTGAGGGGCCTGCCCATCACGGGCGCGACCAGCCCCTACAAGTCCTGCCTCAATGAGGTGGTGAGCGCTTGTTCAAATTACAATCAACAGACATGCCGTATGTCAGCGCATGTTTTGAATAGTGTACACTTTTCACGGCTGGCTGTGCTGTAGGCCGGGCTGGCAATCAGGGTGTGTTTGTGCTGCGTGGGGGCAAGCCGCTGCAGTCAGCGGCCGGGGTGAGTCATGGACGTTGCGATTGTCAGAGGGCTTCATGCAGTAGGGGCCGCCGCCCACGCCTCTGCATGCATGCGCCCGGCCCCTCCCACCCGGCCCCAGATCCGGCACCAACCCCCAATTCCCGCACCTCCCGCTGCTCGGGAC